TTACTTGGTATAATATCATTTAGTTAAGAGTACTGCTCTCTGCTAACACTGCTGAAGTTATTGCAGAGACTGCCAGTGGACAGCAGAGTCACCTGAACAGCTGAAACACTCCTGCCCTTTGCCACTTTAGCCAGGGCATGGGAGCAGCTTCCATGTGCTGCAGAAAGTGCCTGCACAGAGCAGAGTGAACTGTGAGCAGCCCCAGGGGAGGAGGAGGGCAGAGGATGTGGATGCCTCTCCCATCCTCCCCTGCCTGATGAGGATAAACCATCCAGCCAGGCAGGGCAAAACCTCCAGGAAATACAAATAATGGGAGGCAGCCTTCAGCCTTCATCAGCTCTGAGACAGCATAAAGACTTGGCTCATTCTCCTTTTCAATTTTTGGTGATAAAATTACTTGGCTCTGAGCACTCCTGAACGCAGGACACTGTCATGTTTTCCTTTGCTGTGCTTCCCATTCATTTGCACAAGTCACCTTTTCTTCTTCTCTTAAATTACGTTAAAATAAACAATGGAAACATACAAAGGAACCTATATTCTCTTACTGAATAATGAGATGCTATCTTTGAGTACATGGCCAAAGTCTGACATCCCATAAATCCAAGACAAAGGCTCAATTAGCCCAGATAATGCCCATAAAGCCAGCAGAGCCTCACAAAGATATGTAAATGTCAGCACCTTCATTTTACAGGAGAAAATGAAGTGCTGAGAGCAGACGTGGTCAGATCACATCACATCCAAGAATCCAGACCCCTTTACTCCCAGACTAATTAGTATCTCTTATAACAGTGCTCCTTTACATACTAACAATCATCTCTGCTGTAACATACATCAAAAGGCAGGAAATAGCACACCCAATCCCTTGGAAAAAGCTGTGATTTTTCTATAAAACAACTGAATGTACATTCACTCTGATTATTTACAAGTTTAGTAAAAAGCTGCTCTTCTAATTAAATCACAGAATCATTAAGGCTGGCAAAGTCCTCCAAGATCATCCATGCTCAAACTTTGACTGAACACCATCTTGTCAACCAGACCACTGTGTCCAACCATTAAAATATACCTCTAAAGATATAAAGAAATAGGAAAAAAAGAGACCTGAAAAGGTTTTTAAAAATTAAGAGAACTTTTTCTTGGGAAGAAAAAAAATCAAGTTTTGGACAACAACCAAAAAACATTTCAATTATTATCCTTGGCACTCAAAAGTGAAAAAAGAAGTCCAAGATTTTATAAGTCTTTATCTTCTTTCAGCAGACAGAGTTAACTGAGCACAGGGAGCTGCTCCACAGAAAAAACAAACTTGGGAAGAAAAGAAAGTGGTTAGTCATGAGGGATTATAATGGCCCATAGTAAACAGGCTGGGTCACCAAACAAACAGAGCAAACTCCCCATCCTGCAAGATGCTGGGGAATTCTCCCAGAGGAGGTGCAAGTGGAGCTGGTGGTGAGAAGCAGCAGCTCCCAGCAGGGAATGCTGAACCTCTGGGGCAGCCAGGGTAAGCACAGCCCATGGATCCCAACCCAGAGCACCCCCAGCAAGTGCAAATGCACACCCCACTCACCAGTGGGCTTGGAGAGACTTGCAAAAATAACTTTAAAAAAATAAACCCTCCCTCACGGAACTCTCCGAGCTCACAGCTCCTGCTTCCCAATAACAAACTGTCAGTGCCTTCTGCTGTGGGCTGCAGAAAGAAAAAGCTCAGAGCTGCAGGGACTGCATCCTGCCAGGATCCCAGCCTGGCACATTGGGTTACACAGGAAAAGCCTCTCAGGGCCTTGGACCTGTGTCTGGGGCTTGAGGAGTGCAATTCAAATCAGCTGCTCCTAAAGTGGCAGAAGGGTGGAGGCTGACAATAATAAACTCATTTGAAAGCAGTGTCTTCTCCCCAGCTCTACCAGATACCAAATTAGAAACAGTTCTGGCAGCATTTTGTCTGCTGCTTGTGAAGCAAAAGGGAAGAGACTTGCTAAAATTCAGCTGACAGGTTTTTGCATTTATCCCAGGTTCAACCACGGGCAAGCCTGTGGAGTGGGGAACATCCCTGCACTGGCCTCAGCTGACAAGGCCCAAGCAAGCACAGTGCTGAAGGCTTTCATTCACAAAAACTCCATTTCTCTACCAAAACACCTCCACTGGACTGGTAAGACTCTCAGACAAACCATCAGAGCATCAGTGCTGACCTTTCCTGGTGCAGAATTCTCAGCACAGTGAGCAGGGTGGGCATGAGAGAACACACCTGCACAATCATTGGAGTCACAGGATCATGGGGTAACCTGAGCTGGAAGGAATTGTAGTAATTACACATCCTCTACACAGAAAGAGACATAGTTCTCCCAGGAAAATCCTGGGGAGCTGTGTAAAAGCTGTAAGAAATTTAGAAGAAAGAATTCAAACAATTATTATCTCTCTTTCTGTAACCATTGTTTATAGATATGGTTCTCCAGAGTGTGCTATTCATAGTTCACCAGTAGTGTGAGGGAAGATTCCTAAAAGCCAATCAGGCCTTAAGTCCACCATTGTTTCTATAAGAACTGCACATTTCTAATAATAAAGTGCCTTTTCAGCCTTCTGATGATGGAGCCTCTGTACCACCTTTGGCTGTCCCCAGTACCCCTCCAGTGATCAGGAACCTACAGGGATCATCCTCCAGCTCCTGGCCCTGCACAGGACAGCCCCAACCATCCCACCCTGTGCATCCCTGAAAGCATTGGCCAATTAATTCTTCAACTCTGGCAGGCTGGAGCCCCCATCCCAACCAGCTGCCATTGTGGAGATACTGGAACTCAACCACGCAACATTTCAGCAGGAATTTCCTATTCACTCCCACACTACATGCCCTACTTTAGGCTTTTAAACCAGTGTGGCTACACAGAAGTGAGCTTTTCCAGAGCAAACCAGCTTCACACAGCAATGCCTTCCCCTCTGCATAATGCTGATTATCAAACCAGGCCAGGCAGGCACAGCAGATCCTCACGGATGCCTCAGGGAGAGAAATTAACCCAAAATTCAGACAAGCAAACCTCTGTTGTATTATGCAGCCTCAGGATACAGACTCATGACTTAACTAAAGAGACTTTTCCTACAGACTATCTCCTACAAACCATCACCCCGTGTTAATCAGGCTTCTGCAGAGCATCTCTGCTCAGCACCCAATTTAGTGTGACAAACTGGGAGCTTATCACAGCAGCCATCACACAATGCAGCTTGATAGGAAAAGCTCAGAGCCTGTTCCCAGCCAGGATGACCTTTTCCAGCATTTTTATAGATCCTTGCATATATTTACTAGCAAACACCAGGGCAACAGGGTAATGAGCTACTGATAATGCCATGACCAACAAGTCTGATGCTGTATCAAAAATTACATGTGAAGATCAACAGGACTGAAGCTTTGAGCATGAATACTTGGTTGGTGGCAGAACGGAAAAACTTCAGGAATAAGAGGAAAAAGTGGAAAAAGGGTAATTCAGAGTGAAAGGAGGTGATACAAGGAAAAACTGACGGAAAACATGGCTGGGTGAGGAGCAGCTGGAGAGGCTCACAGAAGACATCTCACTTTGTGAGAGCACAAAGGCAGTTCAGCCAAGCCCTTCCAAGATGAAAACAAGGTGGGACAAGGGAGGCCCAGCAGTTCCTGGGATGGATATCCAATGGAAGTGCACTCCTCAGCTGGCCAGAGCTGCAGGGAAGTGGAGTCAATGACCCTGAGTGCTCCACACTCCAGCTAATAGCAGGGGACCCTCCCTGCCCTAATGCTGGATTATGCAAAAGACCATCCAGAAGTGCCAAGTCAGGGCTTTGCATTATCACTGCACAGCCCAGCAGAGCCACTGAGGTAAGGCATTAGCCTGGGCAGCAGCTCTCATTAACCCTTCTCTCATCAGCCCTTCTCATTAACCTGCTCAGTGCCCAGCAGACAGACCTGCTGACAGACCAGCCTTCTGCTCTCCCTGTGCTCCTGGGACATGACAGAATTCCAGCCCTGCTCCATCCCCAGTGCCCCTGGCACAGCCAGACCTCAGAGATGAAGTTTGTGCCTGCAGAGAAGTCACTGCTCCGAGCCAGAGGTCAGCCTGGAGGTCCCTTCTGAGGTGACACAGCTCTGAGGACACCTTTGTGTTCCACAGGAGGAAGCTTTAACAGGTTACACTGCACATAAAGCAGAGGGAATTCCCATGGGCTCATCCCCACAACCCCAGGAACTGAGGAAACACTACAGGACCCCACTCCAAAGAGAAGAACTCTTGTAAACTCACAACACTTGCACAGACCATCAAATTCAGGGCACATTTCCAGCCCTGCCTGACCTACCACCCCTCTCTGAAGAAAACAAGATGCTCTAATATTTATTTTCCAAGTTGACTGCAGCAAAAGGAACTGCTGTGACCTGAAGTGAGACACCAAATCAAACATTTCCAGCTTGAAAAAGTTTGTTGCACTCTTGAAATGTTTACCACAATAAATCTGGAAGGTTACTGGTAAGCCATGCAAAAAAGTCTGACTTCAGAAAGGGTGATTGTGACAATGCAGCTCTTCAAAGTGGGCTGTAAATTTGTAAGTAAATACAAGGAATAGGCACACTCAAGTTGCACAATAATATTTAAAAGACTTCAGAAGAGCAGATGAGTTGCTGTGGTCCTGCTCTCCAGGGTGACAAGGACAGGAAAACAGCAACCTGAAGTGCAGGAGCTTGCAAAGAGCTCTCTATGCAGAGAACCACACACACACATGGAATTTAATACCCAATCCAGGCTGTCTGAGGATAAAACAACTAATAACTGGTCAAGAAAGCCCCTTGTCTACAAAGATTCTGCAGAAACACAGATTCCCAGCCATACCAACTGATTTGCAACACAGAAATCCCCAAAATCAGTGGGTTTTGCACGGAATTTTGTCCTTGGTGTTATCAGAGCCTCTAACACCAAGAAGCTGTCAGCTTCCTCCCAGTGGTGCAATGAGTGTGGGCAGCAGCCAGAGCAGGCCCTGCTGCAGGCACGACTTACAGTGGTGTGATGAGAGACGCTGCCTCCGATGTTGAGGTTCTTGAGGAGCTGTGGGGAGCCTCCATACTGCCCCGAGATCTGCTTCCTGACCTCGGCTGCCACGGTCCTGCAACGACACGGGGACACGGTCACCCCAGCAGGGACAGGACACAGGGACACGGTCACCCCTGGCAGGGAGAGGACACAGGGACACGGTCACCCCTGGCAGGGAGAGGACACAGGGACACGGTCACCCCTGGCAGGGAGAGGACACAGGGACACGGTCACCCCTGGCAGGGAGAGGACACAGGGACACGGTCACCCCTGGCAGGGAGAGGACACAGGGACACGGTCACCCCTGGCAGGGAGAGGACACAGGGACACGGTCACCCCTGGCAGGGAGAGGACACAGGGACACGGTCACCCCTGGCAGGGAGAGGACACAGGGACACGGTCACCCCTGGCAGGGAGAGGACACAGGGACACGGTCACCCCTGGCAGGGAGAGGACACAGGGACACGGTCACCCCTGGCAGGGAGAGGACACAGGGACACGGTCACCCCTGGCAGGGAGAGGACACAGGGACACGGTCACCCCTGGCAGGGAGAGGACACAGGGACACGGTCACCCCTGGCAGGGAGAGGACACAGGGACACGGTCACCCCTGGCAGGGAGAGGACACAGGGACACGGTCACCCCTGGCAGGGAGAGGACACAGGGACACGGTCACCCCTGGCAGGGAGAGGACACAGGGACACGGTCACCCCTGGCAGGGAGAGGACACAGGGACACGGTCACCCCTGGCAGGGAGAGGACACAGGGACACGGTCACCCCTGGCAGGGAGAGGACACAGGGACACGGTCACCCCTGGCAGGGAGAGGACACAGGGACACGGTCACCCCTGGCAGGGAGAGGACACAGGGACACGGTCACCCCTGGCAGGGAGAGGACACAGGGACACGGTCACCCCTGGCAGGGAGAGGACACAGGGACACGGTCACCCCTGGCAGGGAGAGGACACAGGGACACGGTCACCCCTGGCAGGGAGAGGACACAGGGACACGGTCACCCCTGGCAGGGAGAGGACACAGGGACACGGTCACCCCTGGCAGGGAGAGGACACAGGGACACGGTCACCCCTGGCAGGGACACGACACAGGGACACGGTCACCCCGGCACGGACAGGATACAGGGACACGGTCACCCTGGCAGGGACCCTGGATGGAGCAGAGCCACCCCCTGGGCTGGGATGGAAGCAGACACTGCTCACTGCACCGAGGCTGTCACTGCCCTCAGGAAACAGACCCTGCATAACCAAACTCCCAGGAATCACAAAGCCCTCACAAGGCTGCAGATACGCATTTTTAACAGCAATTAATTTTTTTTTTCCCTTTTGTGAGCTGCTCTTCTGAGAGCATCTGTGGCAATAAAATGCACGTGACCCCGAGCACAAATTAAGTTGTTCCCAGCAGGCTCTTCCAAGGAAAGCTCTTCTACAGAGTTCTCCTCACCCGTCAGCAGCTCCTGGTCACACAGCTGCTCCTCTACTCTGCATTTTCATCCCTCTGCCTATTTTTGGGGTCTGCAATCACAGTCAGACAAAGGATCAGGAAACAAATGACTGGGTCAGAACAAAAAGGTGTTTCTCTTCCCGTGTAGGAAAGGTAAAGGTGACAAGCACAGGAAACACTGGCACAGAGCCTTGTGTCTCTGCCAGAGAGAAATTCCACCACTGGGTGATTTTCTCACCAGGAATGGAAAGCACAGAGCAGCCCTTCCAGGCCTGGAGGGTGAAAGCTGTGACCCTCCACAGGTTTTCCATTTTGGCTAAAGAGCCACATTGTCTCTGGGAAGGCTGAAAACACAAGAGGTGGGTAAAGCCACCTGGAGGGGGAAGGAGGAGCCTTCAACAACAGAGGGAAATGCTGTCTGAACAAAGAGCCACAGCCCCAGCCCCACCACAGCCATGCCCAGCTCCCCATCCTGTATCCCAGCAGGAAGCTGCAGCTCCTCTCAGCAGGGACAGCCAAGCCTCTGAGGAGGGTGGAAATGGTTTTGTTCCAAAAGCAAACCAAAACCCAGATTCCTCCCACACAAAAAAGCTGTGTAGGTGAGAAGCTGCTGAGTACCCCTGGCCTGCAGGACCTCACCAACACAAATGCTCCTCCCAGGAGTCAACACCCAAGTGAGCAGTGACAAACCCACCCCAGTGTCACTCACCACATCACAGCACTGCTGGCAGCTCTGGCTCCCAGAGCAAATTCCCAGCTCCAAGTAGACACTAACCAGCCCATAAGGCAATGAACAGGCTGCAAGGACTGGAGTGATTTCTTTTCTGCTGTATCAGTATCTTTGAGCACCCTCATGGCTAATTGACTCCTGATCTCACCAGGGGGACTGTGCTGCTTATTAGAACAGCACACGAGCTGCTAAAACCCTGCCAAGAAGATGGTTAAACCTGTCCTGAGCTAAACCTGGACACCAGGATGGGCTCCTGCCTTTGGGATTGCTGGTGGGCAGGAACAAAGGCAGCTGGAGGCAGTGGAAGAGAAGGGAACTCTCAGAGGGAACTGGCTGGGACAACTGAGGCTGCCATGGGGAGCAGATGTTTCCTCAGGCCAGAGGAAGGACATAAGATTAGCTAGAGGAAGCATTATTTTGTCTTTTTTAAAAAGTAGACTGCAGGAGGAAAAAAAATATCAAGTTTTATGTATTCTGGCTGCAAGAAGTAATTTCCTTCATGTTTGCCTTTATCTGATGTTTTCACTTCTGGTGGGTGGCTTCTGTCCTGCTGGGGACAGGGAACACCCAGGAAAAGCCATCTCCCTGTTCCCACCACGTGTGCACACACAGACACACTGAGAGCAAACCAAGTGTCTGCTGCTTTTGCAGGGAAATTTGGAATGCATTAAAATGGCTGCTTGGCATGGAAAGCACACATGGAGCTGTGGCTGGGGATGGCCAAGCTTGTCCCCAGGATGCACAGGGCTCTGCTCTACACCAGGCTCTCACTCGCTGCGTTTGGTGTCACTCCTGAGGAGGCACAGAGCCCTGGCAGGAAAAAATCAGAGCCCAGCACAACAGGAAAAACTAAAATCCCTTCCCCATTTCCAAGAGGCACTGTTTACAGATGGGAAGTCCAGCCAGAGGAGGGGATCTGTCCCCAGCTGTCCTCCTCAGGCATCTCTGTGGTCCAGCAGGGGAAGGAATGTGGTGCCACAAAGGGTGGCACTGATCAGCTCACTGGATTTGGAAAATCCCCCCAAAGCACGACCACAGCCAGTCAGAACTGAAGCTCCAGTGGGTTTCACCAAGGACCAGCATTACTCTCAAGGATGAAGCACTCCTGCCTCTCCAGTTTTCACCAGCACCCGTCAAAACTCTTCCCACGTGAAGTTAATGGGCACTGTGTAAACCTCAGAATTCCTGAGTGGAGTCTGCAGGGGTTACTGCTCATTCCCAGCCTGCAGTCCAACCCACAGCTCTTTCTGTGTCACTGCATTCACAGAGGTTCTGGACACCACGTCCCCAGGGAAAGCATCATGCCTCTGACACTCAGAAATCATCTCCTAATGTTAGCTGGTCTCCAGATGTATTTCTGGGTGATCTATCTCCCTCTGGGTTTATGGCAGCATGATCAGAGCCCTCTCCCAGCCCTGTCCACCTGCCAGGTGTCCCCCTTGGGCTCCCCTGACCACCCAATGGCTTTTCTAGAGTTGTTCCAGTTGGGAATTACCTTTCAGCAGATGTGCTTCACCCTGATCACTCACTCCAGAGAAAGAGCAGAACCTTTGGAGAACCAAATGAGTATTTCCACACTGGGAAAATACCTCAGCTTTCCTCTTGCAGGGCTGCTTCCTCACTGTTTCCTCCCAGAGGTTCCCAGTTTCCCTAAAACAAATAACTCCTGCTCTGGTGGAAAGTGTCCCTGATCACAGGGTGAGATTTAAGGTCCCTTCCAACCAAACCATTCCATCACTCTATGAACACACTTGCCTTCTCCTCCTCCTGCACTCCCAAAGGCTGTTTGTCCATGACAAACTGGTCATGCCCAGCAGTCCATGTTACACTACAACCCTGAGCATTATTTCTAACCTAGAGCAATGCTGGTAGGTTACACCAAACCCCATCAAGAAAAGAGAAATAAATATCCTCCAAATGTAAAAAAAAAATAAAAATATTAATTTGGTAGAGCCAAAGAGCCATTAAAGCTTTGATAATTAAAAGGACAAATAAAAAACTGCCTCTTCAATAACTTATCTAATATTCAGCATGTAACCTGGGAACCTCAGACAAACATTCCAGTTAATTACAGCCCACAGCCTCATGAATGTCTATGTTTAAAGTACATCTTCCCCAGTCACTTCCTTTCTGACCTTCTTCACTGGTTAATTATTGTGTGTGCATGTGGTTCACACAGAAAAAGAAAAAAAACACACAAAGAAGAGGAAAAAAAATCCTCTTGGAACCGGCTCCTAAAGCAAAACAAAACTGGTCATTCTCAAAGTACTTCGAGCTGCAAATAACAAAATGAAGCCATGTTTGCACTCCCAGGGTTTTTTACTACACACAAAAATCATTCCTCTGTGTGCTGAGCCTGGTCAAATCCAAAAATTGTTCCTTTTTTTTTTTTAACTTTTTTTTTTTAGGTTAACCAGCGAACTGGAAATATCAGTTCTTCTTTTTGCCTTCCTAAAAAAATCTGCCCAAGATCTGCCTGGTGATGCCAAGCAAGGTCAGGAACTCTCCTGTTTCCCAGCAAAGGTGGGTCAGGGCCAGCCTGGGGTGATGTGAGGAAGTCTCCCTTTTCCACAGCCCTCTCCACTGGGAAAGGGCAAGGCAAATTGGTTCTCCCCATCCTGCTAATTACAGAAGTGTTGCTCCAGCCTGTCCCTCAGCCTGGGGTCAGTGCAGGGACTGCACACCCAGGGAGCTCTGAGAAGGCAGCCTGGCATTGCGAGCATCTCAACCCCAGCAGAGCTGCTCGTTCTGCCTCAGAGAGAGAAAACTGCATTTACACATCATTTACTTCCTCACCCTCTGTTCAGCCATCCTCCTGACTCACTGTGCTTGGATGTCAACCCCGGTGGCACTGGCTGAGTGTCACCCTGCAGAGGGAGGAGCTGGCCCCCTGTCCTGCCTGCATCCCCATCCAGGTGAGTCACCACCCAGGGAAGCTCTGCTGGATGAGGGAACCTGCTCCAGGGATGCAGGGAGAGCTCTGGCCTGGAGCCACCCTGCCAGTTCAGCCCTTCCTCCTAAACCCCAGGTCCTGTTTCCTTCTGAGTGAACTCCTTCCCCTTGGAGTGAAATGGGTTTGATTTCCAGCTGAGGAAATGCCCAGCCTGATCCCGACCGCTGCAGGGTGTGTGTGGCTTCTTAAATTAGCACAGATGAGCAACAACATGTTCCCTTTTTCCTCACCATTGATTAAAAGAGAAAACATCACACAACGCTGCCTGTGGTGCTCTTCTGATCATCTTTGATTCTTGAGGCTGAAACATCCCCCCTGGGCTGCAGTGCAGGGAGTGAGCTGCCAGGACACCTGGCTGAGGAAACCACCACAGGACTGCATCCTGCAGGACAGCAAAGCCACACCTTGAGCTAAAAACACCCAAGCAAAGAAGGAAGCCTTGGCAGCCCTGTGGCAGAGCCCTGGAGATGAAGGGCTGGGACACAAGCCCTGTCAGGAAGCACTGGGGGAGCTGGGGGTGCTCACCTGGAGAAAAGGAGACTCAGGGCTGCCCTCCTCACTCTGCACAGCTCTGAAAGGTGCCTGTGCTCAGCTGGGGCTGGGCTCTTTCTCCAGCACCACTGACACAACCAGAGCACACAGCCTGCAACTGCACCAAGGGAAATTCAGGCTGGATATCAGGGAAAAGTATTTTCCAGAAAGGGGGATAAAGTTCTGGAATGGCTGCCCGGGGAGGTGCTGCAGTCCCCATCCCTGGGGGTGTTTAACAAAGCCTGGATGTGGCACTGGGGGCCAGGGTTGAGTTGGGGTGCTGGGGCTGGGCTGGACTTGATGATCCTGGAGGTCTCTTCCAACCCAGTGATTCTGTGAATTCTGTGATTCTGTGAGGTTTTGTCCCTGCCTCCTCCCTTGCTTTAAGCAGTCAGGGATTTTCTTGGGCTTCCCAAGTGCTGCTGACTCCCCCATGAGACATCCAGAGAGGCTGCACGGGGACAGCCGTGGGACTTTTGGGGAGAACAGGAAAGGGATGCTCTGAAATTCCTGCTAAAAATCCTTTCAGTATCCATGACAGTGTTTTGACAATGCAAATGGCATCTGGATGTGGGAAGAGAATAAACTGTGATGAATATTCTGCTGTGACCACGCTTCTGGCCCAATCTGGTGCTCCTGGGAGCCAGTGCCAGCTCTGCTATTGGTTTCAGTGGGTGCAGGTTTCACACCATCCCTCTTTACCCTGGGGCTGGGCAAAGGAGGCTGTCAGTCCCCCTGACACATCATTCAGGGAGTGTAAAAGGCCTCCAAATGAACATAAATGTAAATTCAGCCTTCCCAAGTCCCCTTTTACAGCACCCCATCAGTGTAATGGGAGCTGCAGCAGAAATAAGATGCTCTGAATGTAGTGAACACAAGTGTTTTCCCCTCAATTCAAATCCATAAAGACAAGCTGTGATTACTCCAGGAATCCCATGTAGTGTAAGAGTCCTGGATGATGGGGAATTTCCAAGTCACTGAATGTCTGAGAGCAGGACCAGCCCCTGCTGAAGACCCCCTAGCCCCAGACAGCAGCACCTCATGGGGTTCCTGTTCACATGGAAGCACCTGGGAAGGGGTTGCACCCACCAGCTAAAAACTGTTTTCTCTGGACTCCACTGACAGCTGGGCACAGGAAAACTGAACATTCTCAGCAACAGAACACAGAGCAGTTGTAAAAATCACACTGTGGGGTTTGTGTGAGGCTGACAGGCACAGTAAAACAGAGGGCAGGGCAGGTGTGCTGTTCCAAGTCACAGGGATCCTCTCCCACTGTGGGAGCAGAAAGGAAGATCAGAACTTTTCTAAGCAAAGACACTTCCATGGTGATGGTCTGACCAAAGGAGCAGCCCTGAATTCCCCAGATAACCCAGCCTCAGGATGGTCCAAAAGCACTGACAAGGCACTGAGCCAGGGGCTCACAGGAAAGCCTACATGAGTTTATCCCTGTGATGTTTTTGCTGTGTGAGGTTTGAAGGGGGAGTTCTCCTTTCTCTCTTTTTGAACTTTAAAAACCCTGCACACCTTTTCCTCTGTCCCAGGAAGCACTGGAGTGCTGGGATAAAACATGCTCCAGTTACTGGGACATCCAGGAACTCAGGACTGACCCTTTGGGTGGGGGGGTTTCCACACCAATTTCTTTGCCAAGTGGTCCCATATCCAAAAAATGTCCTGGGATAACACAGCTGGGAATGTGCACCAGAAACGGGAGGCACTGAAGCTGCTCTGCTCTCACACTGAGATGGAAGCAACAGCCCCCATGCTGCTACAGAAGCATCAGGATGCTGCAGAAAGATGTGACCCACTACAGCTTAAAAACATTTCCTACCAATATATTTGCAAATAAAAATTAGCAATTTCATGCAAGATCTTATTAACCCATTATATATGTTTAAGTCAGGAGTTTCTTCCAATGGAGTCAAGAAGAATTAGTGATGGCCAAATTCTAGTTCAAACCCATCCTGCAAAAACTCAGCAGGCCCTAATCATGAAGACACCTTGTAACATATTCTTAAAAAGATATTTTGAAACTGCTGGGGCAATTACTGATAGGCTCTGCCCAATATTTAAAGATTTGGATGCAATGAGCAAACAGGGCATGGCACCAGCACTCTGATCATGCTTTTGAGGGGCACCACAGTGGCTGAAGAAAGCACAGCAGATAAATCTGAGCTGAGGGACACATCCCTGGACTTTCCAAGAAAAGGCTCAGCCCATCCCATGTTTGTTTTTCTACCTCTACTGCAACAACCAGTTTAGAAACGTGCAGCTGGACTAAAGGAATTTGTCTTGGTGGATCTGAATGACATCCATTTGGAGCACACAGGCAAAGCAAGAGCAGCATGGCTGTTTCCTGTGATTAAGACAAATGCTGCATCTACCTCGATGAGTCAGCCAAACCGGGGGGCAGAGTGTGAAAATGTGAGGGATCTATTCTTCTTGAAACAATGGAACTGGGGAGGGCTTCCAGCAGCCACCAGCACAGCTCTGGGACTTCCGTGCACTGCCTGCTCCAACCTCCCATCCCCTGGAACAGCAACATTCCCAGCAGGTCTGTGCCAGCAGGAGAAGGAAGGACAGCAGCCCAGCCTGGGCATCCCCACAAGTTTTTGCCTTCACGTGCACTGGACGTGCAGGCCATGAACCAGGAACTTGAGATTTCTCAGAATATGACACTACAACATGGAAAACCCCACAGAAAACACAGCAACCTTACAAGTGTAAAAGAAAGGTGGAGATGTAACAGCCCTGACTTCACTGCAAAGCACCTGGGTCCTTCTACAGGCACAGGTGAACCAGACCTGTTTAAAGACCACACTGGGAAACACAGCGAGTGGATCAATTAGCCCAAAAGGTGCTCAGAGGTGGCACAGCTGTGCTACAACCCAGATTAGCCCAAAAGGGGCTCAGAGGTGGCACAGCTGTGCTACAACCCAGATTAGCCCAAAAGGTGCTCAGAGGTGGCACAGCTGTGCTACAACCCAGATTAGCCCAAAAGGTGCTCAGAGGTGGCACAGCTGTGCTACAACCCAGATTAGCCCAAAAGGTGCTCAGATGTGGCACAGCTGTCTACAACCCAGTGAACCAGGCAGGACTGCTGAGCACCACAGTGGTCACCCAGGGCCACCTCACTGAACTTCCTGCCAGGGCTGTCCAGCTCGGACACTCTGACTGCCAGGGCTTGTCTCTCATGTGACATTCCTATGACTACAACCAAGGAGCAGGAAAAACGGTCCGGCAGCAAATCCATCTCTGCCCATTCCTTGATCTGTCACACTAACTCCTGGCTGGTGCACATCAAAATGTGCAGAGAACCTGAAGAGAAGAGCAATGTTTTCACCTGCTTCCAGATCATGAGTGGGGTGGGACTGATGTCACTCCTCTACCTCCTACCCACCCTTGTCCTTTGACCTCCTGTTTCTTTGCCCACGACCTTCTCCATCACAGCTTCTCTAACTGCAACTACTTGTACCTACAGCTTCTCACTCAATGGCACGAAAATGAGACTCCTTCTGCTACTGTCCACATCCTGCTGAACAGCTCTGGCACAACTGATGGATCTCGCTTTCACTCCACTGCTGGCTACAGGTAGGAGAGGTACCATGGTCACCAAAGGTTACCTGGTCAGACCTGCTAACAGAGAAACTGCTCCCACCTGGAACCACATACCAAACACGGAATGTAAATCTGCAGAAACCTGCCGTCGGCAGGTAAATTTCCATAAATACTCCTCTTGAAAAAATAACCAAACTTTGAGAAACCCGAGGATGCTCAGCCCCGCGAGCCTCAGGCAGCTCGGCGGGTCCAAGGAGCGAAGCAGCCGCGCTCACACACAAAAGGAAGGCGCTGGCAGGGAGCTCTCTCTCCATTTTCCAGCAGCGGGAGGGAGGTCGGCGCTCCCCTCCCAGGTGCGGGGCCGGGGCAGCGCCGGGAGGCGGCCGGGGCAGGGCCGGCCCGGCCAGGAAAGCGCCGTGCCGCCCATTGTGCGGCCGGAGGGGCTGCACAAAGCGCCCGGCCGCCCTTTGTTCGCGGCAGCGGAATTCCACGGCTCCTTCCCTCCTCTTCCTCCCTCCCCCGCTCCCCGCGGGTGCTCCCCCGGGGGAGCGGCCCCGCGCTCGGCGGCCGCCGCGGCCGCTCCCGGCCCTTTGTGGCGGGCGGGGGGGCCCAGCCCCGCGGGCCCGGCCGCCCCCGGTACCTGCTGATCTTCTGGGCGAAGGCGCGGCGCTCGGCCATGGCCGCGCTGCGGGCTCCGCGCTGCCGGCCCGGGCAGCGCTCGGCCGCCGTAATGCTCCGCCGAGCCGCGCACTTGAGCGGCGCAGCTCCCACCCCCGGCGCTCGCCGCGCCCGCCGCCTCCTCCCCTTCCCGCCGGGGGGCCGCTCCTCGCAGATATACGGCGGGGAGTGACCGCCGCCGGCCCCGTCCTGTCCCCATCCGTGCCCCTGTGCCCATCCCCGTCCTCTGTCCCCATCCATGCCCTTGTCCCTGTTCCCGTCCTCCGTACCCATTCCCATCCCTGTCCTCGTCCCTGCCCCTGTCCCCATCCCTTCCCCATCCCTTCCCCTGTCCCCAAGGGTCCTGACCCCCACCGGCCTGGGGCTCCCCTTGCGGTGCCGCGTTGTTCCCGAGTGAGAGCAGAGCAGCTGGGGTTGTTCTCGGCACTGATGGGGATCCGCCGGTGGTTTGGGGAAAAGGCTCCTTAGAATCGCTCCCCAGTCCTCGGTCCAAAATTGCTGCCAGACCAACCCTTGGGAGCACCAGAATCCCAGGATCACTGAGGATGGAAAAGCCCTCCAGGAGCATCGAGTCCAAGCTGTGCCCGATCCTCAATTTGTCACCAGCCCAGAGCACTGAGTGCCACATCCAGTCCTTCCTTGGATATCTCCAGGGGTGGGAACTCCAAACATCCCTGGGCAGCCCCTTCCAATGTCTAATCACCTTTTCCATGAAGAAATTCCTGCAGCTCAAGACCTTGCTGGGTGTCATGGGTCTGCAAGGCATGGCCAGGTCCCTTGGCCAGACAAAACTGGGCTCCCAGTCAATCCTGCCCCATATCATCCCATCTCTTCCTTCAAAAAGGCTAAAAACTGTCCCTAACAATGATTCAGGAGATGGTTGGAAGATTGTACCATCCATTCCCACCAAACATGCCATTACTACCAGCGTCTCCAACCACATCATGGTTTGGGGTTGTCTAATGGGAACAGGAGGTGGAAGGTGGGGAGTCATTAACAAAAAAGACTGTTTTGTGACTTCAGGAGAAGCCTGAGCCCAGGACACGATCTAGCAGATAACACCAAGTCCCTGCTACCCGACACAGGCTGTGCACTAATCCAAACCAGGGAACTATTAATAGTCACCCAGGAAGTGTCCAAAAGCAGGAGTGTTAATTCCCCCCACTCCATCTGCTTGAGTCGTGTGAAGGTTTCCCTCACATGGAGGACACCAATCCCTCCCCTGGCAGGAGCTGCTGATTTCCAGCTGGGTGTAATTCCTCTGCTCTGCTGGCTGTGTGTGTTCACACAGGCAGTGCCCCAAAATCTGCAAAAACCTCGGTGTGTGAGTGATCCCAGGGGGTTTAATGCAGGCACCAAGTGAATCCCCTGTGGGCGAGGCTGTGCCCCAGGACACAAAGGTGCTGTCATGTGTCACACACGTGCAGGCACACACAGATCCTGGGAAGCAAAGACCCATTGTAGGCACTGAGAAAGGGATGTTCTTCTCCAAGGGGGAGGGGAGGAAATATCCCACAGACCTCTGTCAAGACAAAAGACTCTTGCTCTGGAGCTGCTGCCTGTGTGTAGAATTGCACACCAGAAAAGGGCATCCCACAGTGTGGATGGGGTAAGAGATTTACCTCCTCATATCCACGGAAATTGTGGCTGCCCAACCTCTGGAAGTGTCCCAGGCCAGGTTGGACAGGGCTTGGAGCACCCTGGAATACTGGAAGGTGTCCCTGCCCATGGCAGGGGGATGGAACTGGATGAGCATTCCCTTCCAACCCAAAGCAGTTTGGAATTCTAAGACCAAATTCCCATATCTGAGTGTGTGTGCTCACAAGAACAGACCAAAACACCAGGAACCACCAGCAACGCTTCCTCTTCCCCCTTTTTTCTCCCCAAAATGGCACCAGTCTGGAATGGAGGAGGGCAAAAATACCCCTGCCTAACCCAAACTCTGAGACCAAAACTGGGAATCCTGCAGTTCTGAAAGGAAAACTCTTCCTGCTGCCAGAGGGTGCAAAGAGCAGCCCAGCCCCAGCAGCCCTGACACACAGGGCACCGAGTATCCAAGGTCCACTGGGGAGAACACAACTTTGGGACTTTAGGTTTCGTTTGAGACCTTTGGGATTTTAGGTTTCATTTTCCCCTCCTGCCAGTCATTACCACAGAGAAAGGACCTTGGTTAGGTCTGGGCACTGCTTGATGAATTTTGATGTCACCTTTGCTTTTCCTTGACTTTTTCTGTAGCTGAGAGCTGGACCAGAGGAGCTCCAGCCATCCCATCTGGATATAAAATGCACCTCTATCAATACAGATATTATATAAACTATATCTATAATATCAATATTATATTCATTGATTATATATATATATCTCAATAATATATATAATATATTATACTATTGCCCTCACATCAGGAGGGCATTGCTTTGTAGAGAAATAGGTTTTCTCCATATAGTTGGGTTAAATATGAGCAGAATCCCTAAATTAATAGTCAACACCCAGTGAATTTCAGAAAAACAGACTTTGCAGATAGTGACCAGCAAAAGTCTACAAAGTCTGTGGGTTGAAATAGTAAGAATTCACTAACATTGTGAATTCACTAACATGTAACCTTGCAAAAAACCCCAAGACCTTCTGTAGATTGACCCTAAATTTTGCAGTGCATGCAGCATTAACCAAGAGAAGTCAAGGAAAAAGTGAAGAAATAAGAGAGGAAAAAAAAAATTTAGTCTTTGACCATTATAAATCCAATAATGCCAAATAAAAAAAATCATGGTAACAATATGGGGGGATTGATGTGGTGATGTCAGGGTGTTATTTTGGGTACTAAGGTGAGGGTTGCCTCTTACAGACACAGTCACAATCCTTCTGCCTCCTGTTTTGTCATCCTAGAAGTGAATTAACTGAAGGAAATGCTTGGCCTGAAGAAACAAACAGGCTTTGCAAAGAGGACAATGTGACCACCAGAGAAACCTGTTACATGGAATTACAGTCTGCAAAAAAATTACTTCTTTAGGAACTAGCAGATCCCTCTGATTCAGAAACAACAGTTGTGTGGCAAGTTTTCCTGCAGCAAAGATGGAACCATTTTCTTCTAAAACAGGGGGAAATTTTATGTGATTCATGATGTACTGAGAATGTTACACTGTTTATTTTGCACAGTTTTTTGTGCCCATGTATTGTCCTCAAGGGTGTCTGGTATCTCAGAGTGAGGGTGAAGACAAATCAAAAGTGGAGGTGCTATGTGCATGCAATTAATACCTCCAACCAGCCCAAGTTAATTTTAATTAGTGTTTGAATAGAGGCTACATAGTAACCAAGTTAAAACCTGGAACTTTACCAGCATTATGAGGATAGTGAATAGCTACTCCTCTTTAACACACTGTAATTCTTCACCATGTTTTAGGAAGCAAAGCAGGAACCTGGCTTGTTCCACGCTGGATTCCAACAGAAGAACATATCAGCTTTTGGGAAGCATCCCTGCCTCCAAAAAGGAGTCCTGGACACAGGACTCTGATCCACTCTCACACTGAAAGGGGGAGAATGAAGCAGCATTTAATCAATTCTCCAGGGTACCTGTCCATGAACCACCTACATCCTTTAAAACATGTGACTAAAATGATCTTCTTATAATTGAGACTGACTTTTACTGGGCTATAATCAAATTTGGTAAGTGCACCCTACCAACACAGATGTAACTCCCAGAGCCTGACAGAAGTAATCTTACAAGATCAGGTTCTGCACAGGAAAAATCCCTTTGGATCACAGCCAGAAAACATTTGGACAAAAGTGAACTGATCCTTGCCTTGCCTGTTAGCAGATTATTTCCTGAGCCCAGGGCTTCCTCGTTCTTCTGACGTAAACTTCCTCAGGGCAAAGGCAGGGAAAACATTTTCCACGGAAAACAACCAGAGTAATTCCATAAACAAAGCTGTAAATAGGGATTGCAAATGCAGGGAGCCACCTCCTGGCAGCACCCGGGAAGGGCCAAACCCCTGCCTCTCCTGGCCAATGTTTAAATGTGAAGAGCTACACGCGTGTCACAAACACCATCTCCTCTGGACAGCTCTGGCAAGAGAGAATGTGCTGCTGTTCTCAGGCTGCCCCGCACCCAAATTGTGCTGGAGAAACCAGATTTAAGGAGGGAGGACTCTCCAAATCCTGCACTGCATCCATGACATCCCTGTTATTTCCTTTACAGACCCACAGGACTGTACCAGCCTTTCCAGAGCCTTCTTCACATGGTGGTGTCTGATGGCAGCTTCACTTCTGCTTTACTGTCTCCTGGCACATTTATTTTAGGATTTCTTCACTTCAAAAGGTGGGTTCAAGAAATTAAATCTTCCCAGAGAAGGACTCAAAGTCTTCCCAAGTGAGATTCCATTAATTCTTTCCATTAATTCCTGCTCATGTTTATCATTTTTGTAGTTTATGCTTCCACCCCGAGCACAGCTCTCAACCTTTCCCAGTTCAACACTCTGTAAATTGCATTAATGTGTTATTTCCTCTTGCATCATTAGGATCTTACATTAAGGGTAGCCTGGGCACAGACTCTTCCAAGTATCCTGCTGAAGCCTCCTCCTCCTTACCCTACTCCTGGGACAGAGAAAGGAAATCTGGATTTGGAGGGACTGAGGGGTACCAGCAGAAGTTTGCTGGCTAATTTGGGGGGAACCACATCAGAGCAATCCAGCTCCTGCTGCCCCTTTCACCCTCACTGCTGCTTGAGAGGATGCACAAATTCACACAGTCTGAATTCCCATGTTTTCCCTTTTTCCTGTTCCACGGTCTCTTTTTACCTGAGCAGCTACTCCCACAAAAACTGGAGTTATTTAACATCTCTCAGGCTCTGCGAACTTGAATTCTGAGGAGTTTCAAAACTTTCCAGAGGGAAACAGACCACAGATGGCTTATTTCCCTAGGAAATGGAACTAAAAATAAACGAGGAAAATTCCCTTCTCTCCAGCTACTTGACCTAAGGTCTGCTCTCCTCAGGCAACAATGTTTGGGAAAGCACATTTGGCCAAATGTTTAATGAGCTTTTCTAAATATATTGCAGATTACTGATGATGGAACAGTGG